ATCCATCATCCATCATCCATCCATCATCCATCCATCCATCATCCATCCATCATCATCATCCATCATCATCATCCATCATCCATCCATCCATCATCCATCCATCCATCATCCATCCATCATCCATCATCCATCATCCATCCATCCATCATCCATCATCCATCCATCCATCCATCATCCATCCATCCATCATCCATCCATCATCCATCCATCCATCCATCCATCCATCATCCATCCATCCATCCATCCATCCATCCATCATCCATCATCCATCCATCATCCATCCATCCATCCATCCATCATCCATCCATCATCCATCCATCATCCATCCATCCATCATCCATCCATCATCCATCCATCATCCATCCATCCATCCATCATCCATCCATCATCCATCCATCATCCATCCATCCATCATCCATCCATCATCCATCCATCATCCATCCATCATCCATCCATCCATCATCCATCCATCCATCCATCCATCATCCATCATCCATCCATCATCCATCCATCCATCATCCATCCATCATCCATCCATCCATCCATCATCCATCCATCCATCCATCCATCATCCATCATCCATCCATCATCCATCCATCCATCATCCATCCATCATCCATCCATCATCCATCCATCATCCATCCATCCATCATCCATCCATCATCCATCATCCATCCATCCATCCATCCATCCATCCATCATCCATCCATCATCCATCCATCCATCATCCATCCATCCATCATCCATCCATCCATCCATCCATCATCCATCATCCATCCATCATCCATCCATCATCCATCATCCATCCATCATCCATCCATCCATCATCCATCCATCCATCATCCATCCATCCATCCATCATCCATCCATCCATCCATCATCCATCCATCATCCATCCATCATCCATCCATCCATCATCCATCCATCCATCCATCATCCATCCATCATCCATCCATCATCCATCCATCCATCATCCATCCATCATCCATCCATCCATCCATCATCCATCCATCCATCCATCATCCATCCATCATCCATCCATCATCCATCCATCCATCATCCATCCATCATCCATCCATCATCCATCCATCATCCATCCATCATCCATCCATCCATCATCCATCCATCCATCCATCATCCATCATCCATCATCCATCCATCATCCATCCATCCATCATCCATCCATCCATCATCCATCCATCATCCATCCATCCATCCATCCATCATCCATCATCCATCCATCATCCATCCATCCATCATCCATCCATCATCCATCCATCATCCATCCATCATCCATCCATCCATCATCCATCCATCATCCATCCATCATCCATCATCCATCATCCATCCATCCATCATCCATCCATCATCCATCCATCCATCATCCATCCATCCATCATCCATCCATCCATCATCCATCCATCCATCATCCATCCATCATCCATCCATCATCCATCATCCATCCATCCATCCATCCATCATCCATCATCCATCCATCATCCATCCATCATCCATCATCCATCCATCATCCATCCATCCATCATCCATCCATCATCCATCCATCCATCATCCATCCATCATCCATCCACCATCCATCCATCATCCATCCATCCATCATCCATCATCCATCCATCCATCCATCATCCATCATCCATCCATCCATCCATCATCCATCATCCATCCATCATCCATCCATCATCCATCCATCATCCATCATCCATCCATCATCCATCCATCCATCATCCATCCATCATCCATCCATCCATCATCCATCCATCATCCATCCATCATCCATCCATCATCCATCCATCCATCCATCCATCCATCCATCCATCCATCATCCATCCATCATCCATCATCCATCCATCATCCATCCATCATCCATCATCCATCCATCATCCATCCATCATCCATCCATCCATCATCCATCCATCCATCCATCATCCATCCATCATCCATCCATCCATCATCCATCCATCATCCATCATCTATCCATCATCCATCCATCATCCATCCATCCATCATCCATCCATCCATCCATCATCCATCCATCCATCCATCCATCCATCATCCATCCATCATCCATCCATCATCCATCATCCATCCATCCATCATCCATCCATCATCCATCCATCATCCATCCATCCATCCATCATCCATCCATCATCCATCCATCATCCATCCATCATCCATCATCCATCCATCATCCATCCATCATCCATCCATCATCCATCCATCCATCCATCATCCATCCATCATCCATCCATCATCCATCCATCCATCCATCCATCCATCCATTCATCCATCATCCATCCATCCATCCATCCATCCATCATTCATCCATCCATCCATCATCCATCCATCCATCCATCCATCCATCCATCCATCCATCATCCATCCATCCATCTATCCATCATCCATCCATCCATCATCCATCCATCCATCATCCATCCATCCATCCATCCATCCATCCATCCATCATCCATCCATCCATCCATCCATCCATCCATCATCCATCCATCATCCATCCATCCATCCATCATCCATCCATCATCCATCCATCATCCATCCATCCATCCATCCATTCATCCATCATCCATCCATCCATCCATCCATCCATCATTCATCCATCCATCATCCATCCATCCATCCATCCATCCATCCATCCATCCATCCATCCATCCATCATCCATCCATCCATCTATCCATCATCCATCCATCCATCATCCATCCATCCATCATCCATCCATCCATCCATCATCCATCCATCCATCTATCCATCATCCATCCATCCATCATCCATCCATCCATCCATCCATCCATCCATCATCCATCCATCCATCCATCATCCATCCATCCATCTATCCATCATCCATCCATCCATCATCCATCCATCCATCATCCATCCATCCATCATCCATCCATCCCTCCCTCCCTCCCTCCCTCCATCAATCCTTTAATTTCACAGTGATTGGATGCAGCTGTGAGGAAGTCAGACCCTCAGCAGGAACAGCTCCATCGTTTCCCTTCGTCTGATGGCCGTTTGTCACCATGAGGATGTCCCAGAAGAAGAGGCATGAGCACCGTTTCCATGGAAACAACCTTTCCATTTGATGCTACAGTAGCAGCCATTCAAACTTTCCCCACTCTCCTTGGCTGGTCCCCTATAATTCTTTTTTAAACATCAATCTTTGTAGTAAAATATTCTTTCTGTCATGATTTATGGACATTAAGATCTAAAGAGAAGCGCCATCTCCTGGTCAGACCCTGTAATTCAGGGAAAGGGTGGAGTCAGAGTAAAAAAATATGCAGGAGGGGGGTCACTGCAGTGGCTGGAAGTTGGAGGGAAGTGGGCCGCCATTCAGCTGGCGTTTGACTGGGAGCGGCCATTTTGAATGGCTGCTACTGTAGGCGTTACCCAGAGTTGGCGACATGTAAGGAAAACAAGCAGAGCTAATATTAGAGGACTGGAAGAAGAACAGGAAACGTCCAGAAGTCTTTGAATGCAGCGTGACAGCGCCATCAGGGCACGGAGCGGTCCCCCCCCGCTGTGGATCCAGTCACCTCGTCTCTAGCTAACGGCTGATTAACCAACTACAGGATGGAAAAGCTTCCAGGCTAAATCTGATCCAGATGTCATCTCAAAAGTCCAGCAGGTTTATTCCATCCTGAATAAGACTACAGACACATGTGCTAGGCTAATCAGTCCATTAGCCAGATGGGCCAAAGATGGCCGCTGGTCTGGTTTAGCGCTTGTCACTAGCCAGTCCGTCCCGGAAGCACGATCAATACCATCAGCTCATTTGCAAATCCAGATATACATCCAGGTCACCGCGATCTTTACAGGAAATGGGATCCGACGCTACTTCCAGAAGCTAACTTTATCAGCTTTGCATTTAAATATAAATCTAGTCTTTTTGAGTTCTGTTTTCCTTTTGTGCTAACATTATGGTATATAGTGCTTAATCTAAAGAAAGAAATAACTAAAATGTAGATAAAGATGGTTTAATCAGATTCGCTGCTCTGAACGTGTCCCATGATGACGTCAGACAAAAGGTTTAACAAAGAAAATGTATAAAGCATCAAAACTGTCTCACAAAAGTCCAACATTTTTTTTAAAGATGTGTATAATCAATTTTTTTAAGTAAGTTATAGATAGAAATAAATAATTATAGTACCATAATTACATTATTTTTGGCCTGCTTGATGTAGATCTGTACGTTCTTCCAGGACGGATCGTTCTTCCAGGACGGATCGGGTGGTGACAGCTCTCTCTCTTTGTTTTCCCGTCAGGAAGGCTGGCGTCTGGAAGAGCATGTGAATATGGCTGAATAGAGGATTTCCAGTCCCTCTGCACCATCCCTGCTGACGTCACCATGAGGTGTGAGCAGCGACACAAGGACCACCGGGGTGAGACGTCCGGGATCAGGAAAGGAGGAAGATTATCGTCCTCATCCCAGAATCACATTGTTTGGGTTTATATCCAACATCTCTGGCAGAAATGTCCTCCATGTCTTCCCTGCTTCAGGTTGAAATGAAACGGATCATTTGACCTAATAGTTTTTAATTCTGATGAAAGAAGCAGTGATTGAGCCTGGATCAGGGGGAGATTATAATCCACACGACACACTATGAAGAAGCAGACCAGCGGGATGCTAATCCAGCCTCTGAGACTCATCAGACAATCACAGTTACAAGGTTATTCCTCTGTCTATATACATGTCTGGATCTCCAGCGTCTCTCTATGAGACACTGCTGCTAATTACAGATTCTGGTATCTGCATATCTAATCCAGCGATTCTGGTTGCTTTTTACATTTCCCTTTATCTGTTTATCTGACTAAAGCTGAGTAAATCCAGATCAGCAGTAATTAACTGGGATGCATCGACTTGTGTAACTCCTCCATAATGTCCTCCTCCTCTCCACCATCCAACGTCTTCTTATTAATGAACTTTAAACCATCTTTTCCTCATTTCTCCAATCTTCTTTCCTGGTTTTTTTTGGCTTTGGTAGAAGATGAAGCAGACGCAGCAGAGCTCACTTCAGGTCGATTCCCCCAGAGGTGGCCTTCTCTTTGTTCTGAAACAGAGACAGTAAATCCTTTAAAACTCGGTGTCTACCCTACACGGCCACAGCAGGCTGCAAAAACGAGCGAACAAACAGAAGCAAGAGACGCTTTCATAGCTCTGCACTGCAGACAAGCTTCTGCTGATCATATAACAGCTAATACCGAGCCCTATAGAGAATAAGGTGCTGTTAGCTCTATGCAGTTAGCCTAGCACAGAGAATGCAGAGGGTCCAAATTCCTGGAGGGAAAGGGAGACTCTTGATGATGGCTGTGTGGATTTTAAGGTCATTTAATAATCCTTAAGAACTCTGACTATTCTCTCCAACATGCAGGGCTTCATGGAGACGTAAGTCATGCGCCCTCTGGTGGATGCAGACTGACTGACAGCTGTCTCGTTGCTCATTTCTTAGCTCTAACTTTTGATCCTTTCCTCATCTGCAGCCGTTTAGCTGCATCAAAGTTATCTTTCATTTAGAGGCTCTCCTAAATAGAAACCAACTGTAGTGCTAAAGAAAAGCATTTATATGCTATAGAACCAAGTGGGCCTTCTATCAACATGTCCAGGGTTAAAGGATAAATGTCTCAGCAGGACCTTCCTACTTCGTTCATCTTTAGCAGAATTGATCCCTGCAGCGGCGTCTCCAAAGCTCTGCATAGAGAGCGGATCAGACAGCAGCTGATCCTGAACGCTGCTGCCTTTTCTACAGCTCCAATTCACATCATGTCATCTGTGGTCGGAACATTTAGTGTCTCTTATTTCATATATTAATTTATCCTACTTACTCACTATAAACTTTTCACTCAGCCTGTTTCACCTGCAGGGCCACACAATTCTGCTGTGTGAGGATGTTTATAGAACAGACATAGCTTCTTCCCAAAACAAGCCAGATTCTTTCTCAGGTTTATTTATAACATTTTACTGTTTAAACAAAGTGTCTGTAAATAGTTTAGACTCTGACTACTTTCCATTAATGGGGGAACGAACGCTGCCCAGATCAGAACAGGGCTGATTACCGTGCAATAAGGGCCGTATGATAAACTGTTCTCTCTTTTCAAAGATAAAAATAAAGTGCCGACTGAGAGAAATCCATTAACCTCCGTTTATATAACTAGGGTAAATAATTGAATACTTTCTTCCACTACAATTTGGCGTCACAAACAGGATCTCCTAAACTGATTCCTTCTGGGAGCAGTTATGACGGAAGTGTCTGATCAAACTGGGATTAATTCCTGGCCTCAACCCTAATAGATAGAGGACGGAGGACTTCTGACTTAATGTTTCCAGGGTCAGCAGGTGATTACCTACTGATGTTTTTGAAACAGTGAGAAATCTTCAGTCGGCATGGCTCAAATAAATTTAGACTAAAAGTTATTATAGAGGTAACAGTTTCTACTGGGGAGAAAAGGTGTTTTCCACTTGAGAACCAAGGGAATTAATGGAGGGCTCTCTCTGGATGGATGGATGGATGATGGATGGATGGATGGATGGATGACACCAGTGGGTTGGTGTGCAGTGGAACAGGTTTTCAGTTCTTAAGCTGTAGAACAAAGGCGAGTTTCTAAGAAATCACCTCAGCAACAGAGAGAAACTGGTTAAAATTAGAAAGCAGAAAGGCGCGTTTAAACTTTACACTACACATACCGGTACTTACACTGTACTATATTTTACACTATATATAAGTAATAATAATTAATTTTAATGGTGAATGGTAAAAGAAACAAAACTTTAAACTCTTACAGGAAATCAATAACTCATAGGTAAAAACTATTAAACTAGAAAGAAAGTAAGTAGGGCATAAATAAGGTGAAACTAATTACAACTTGTAATTTCACCTTATTTTATGCCCTACTTACTTTCTTTCTTTAAAAACTGGGGTGAGCCTTAATATTTTCTATGGCAGTGGTTCTCCATCATGGTCCTAAAGTAGCGCTGCGCGGCGAGGTCTAAATTTCTCCTCACTGCCTTAGCTGCCTTCTAATGCTGCAAAGCCTGTTAGTAGTGATGGTTAATGAGGCGCCTTGAAGCCAAAATGAATTGATGCTGCATTGATTCTGTCTCATGGAATACTGACATCTGCTGGACATTTAAAGACACTACAGGCAGCCTATTGGACAGACTGAATAGATTTGATGACCTGGAACAATGATAACACTGAAATAATTGTAGGTTATATTGTATTATTTCCTACCTATGTTTAAATTGAAAATATCTTTGATATGCAGCCAATAAATAATGTGAAGATATATCATAACATGGAAATTTAGGGAAAATGTGACTGAGGATGCTTGTGGACTAGGATTTTAAATGATATTTTAAAACAATGATAACAGTAAAAAGAGCAAATAAACAAAATTCTGATAAGTCGAGTGATAACTGAGAGGAAAAGTATGAGACTCAGTGAGTCAGATGAATTCTCAACTAAAGCAGTCTGTGGTCTGGTGGTTTGTCTAAATTTGGTGAACATCAACATTTTTAAACTCAGTTGGTGAAAATGCAAGAAACAGGTTTGTTAAGAAAATACCAACAACATGAAATCACAACTTTAAGACTTCAAACTGACCTTAAGAGATGGTCTAGGTGGCCTAACTGGTCTTCTCGGTTGTACCAGATCCGGTGCGGATCTTGGCGGGGGCGTTTCTTGACACCTGTTCAGAGGCTCCAGGTCATCGGCTACATCCGGACATGCTACGTATCCTCCAGCTTCAAACACGGCTCCCAGATCAGCTCCAAAGAGCATCTGAGTGTTTGGGGATTCTGATGGCCTGGAGTCCTGCATGGTGGACCTGCTGCTGATGGCCTGCTGAAGCGCATACGTTGAAGCAGCGATTATACTGTTGACAGAACTCACATTTGTGTTGCAGGGTTCCGGCCTTTGTACATTGTTGGATGCTAGCTCGCTGTCTGAGCTGTTACTGGACAAACTGCGATTTAGGTCTGTTTCAACGATGCCTTGATATCTTTTCACTCCGGCTGCACTTTCATGACTAAACATGTCTAGTGTCTCTTGGTTGTCATGGCTACATAGATTGTCAAATTTCTGATTTTCAGTGACGCCAAGATCCTGTGGTTCGTCAAGATGGACATCTGAGATGAGCGTTGTTTTCTTTTCCGTTTCATGAAATCCCAGAAGCTCTTGATTTCCATAATTATCTAAATCCAAAACTTCCTGGTTTTCAGGATATGAAAATTCTTGCAGTTCGTTACTGCCAGAATTATTTGGTTCCACCCACTCTTGGTTGTTATAGCTCAGAGGTTCTGGTAGCACCTCCTTGTTGTTAATGGGACAGGTCTCCACCACCTCTAGGTTTTCATAAGAGCTGTAATCTGTGAGTTCCTTTTGTTCAGAGGTGAGCAGCTCATTGTTCAAAGATGGCTCCAACACCTCTTGGTTTCCAAAACTTTCATAATTAGGGACTTCTTCGAGGGTGTAGTCATACTCTTCAAGAACTTCTTGGTTTTCATATGTCTGAGGTTTCAGTACTTCCTGGTTTGCATAGTTAAAGTTTTCCAACCCCTCGTCGTTTTCATGGGTAGTGAGAACCATTTCCTCCAGGTTATGATCATCACAAAGGTCTAAATCCACCTGGTTCTCCTCATCGGGGCTGAGTTTAAAGCCATAAGGGTCTGAGTCACGTACAATTTGACAGGCGGTGATGTCAAACCCATAGGGATCAAAAGTTAGCTCATATGGCGGAGGAGATGTGGGTTCATCATCGAAGATGGTAGCATTTTCTGCCTGTTCTGGGCTCAGCTCAGCTTCATCAGGGTCTACCAGGGTATGGCTGGAGTTTTCTGGGCTGAGTTTAAACCCATAAGGATCAAAGGAAGCAGGACAGGCTGAGCTGTAGCTCAAATCTAAATCATTCTGCTCAGAATCAGATTGAAGTATAACTTGCTTTAAAGGGTCCAGTGTATTGAGGGGCGACTCTGCATTTCTGGCTTCCTCTGCATCGATTTTAATCTCTTCTGTTACCAACATGGAAGTCAGATCATGAGGAACAGGTTGCTTTTTGTCACTTATCCATTCTGGTTCTGGCATCGTGCGGTCACTGTGATGATGATGATGATGACGATGATGAGCTGAAGCACAGCTTGAACCTAGCAGAAAAAGGAACAAAATTACTATGGAATGTTTATTAAACGTTTATGAATCTAATCAAGATTTTTATGCAACCTTGAAGGTAGGAGAGATAAGAATGAATGTTCTGAGGGAATATTTAGATTAGTCTGGTCTTTATAGAAACTGAGCGAAAAAAGCAATAAGGCCTTCTTTATTTTGAGGCCTAGCAGTCTTAATACCAATGACTGCATGATGGAACACTCATAGTTTTGCTAACAGCTCTGCTAACCGGGTCCACAAACAGAACTGCTACCAGCTCAGGGAATCGGTCTGCTAACGGCTCCGCTAACTTCTCTGCTGACAGGTCAGAGGTTCTGAGTTCAAGTCCCACTCCCACAGACTGCCACTGTGGCTCTCTGAGCAAGACAAAGCAGAGAGTTCATATCGTTGCTCTGTACTTGTGACAGTGGAATGACAATAAAAGCTGAAAAAAACATATGTTAAACAGTCCAGCTAACAGTTATGCTAAACACCTCAGCTAACAGGTCTTCTAACAGAAGTCTGTAAGTCTAAGAACACTTGAAGCAGCTTCAGACTGTAGCCGGCTGTCCAATTCAAAGCAAATGTTTAAAATGTTTTATGGTTGTGATCTATCACCGCTATATCCAGTGTATTCTACTGCTAGCTAAAGTCGGGCATACACTGTACGATTTTTTCAATCATTCTACGTAGCTACAGCTCAAACTGTACGATGAAACCGCAGGGTTTAAAAGTTCTCATCTCCTGATGTTTGTTCTCACACTGTGCGACCCGACGCTCTGATGCGATCTACCTGCTCTCACTGTATGTCTAAAAACCAGGTGGGACTCAGCTCCGCAGTGAGATGGAGCTACTGGGACTCGTCTATCTGGAAGCCAAACCAGTAGCAGAGGAACATGAAGCTCACTAGAGTGAAACGCGCTGCCTTGGATATTTGGGCGATTTAGTGCTGAAAGCCCTAAAAAGAAAAGGAGACGACGTATTTGGACAAAGACATGGCTGAGCTAACGTGGCTACTACGGTCTGACAGTTTGACAGAAAGAACTCCATTTCACTCATTGCCCCCCCGCCATGATGCTGGGTTTACATGTGAGAGGAAGAAAAAGAAGAATCCTTGTTTGCCCACTGAGCGATTTGCCCACGGCCACCTTACGACGGCCGACTGGATTTCAAACTCATTTGATTTTCTCCTGACTTTAAGATTCCTAATGGGGGGGTGGTCGTTAGAGGCTGGTCGCCCCTCGTTACCCCCTGTTCACTACACCACGCACCATCAGGCTGGAAGTTCACAAGATCAAAGAATTCTCGCACGACTGGAGAATCGGCCCGAAAAAGGGCAATAAGTCGTAGAGTGTACGCCCGACTTAAAGCATTGACCAACCCTGTGACCTCCCCGTTTGAGGTTCTGCAACATGGCGGTGCCCTGCTCCAAAAGTTTTAAAACATTGTTGTTTTTTTTTGTTATTTTACGTTTATATTTTTCTCATTTGCAAAATAATTATTGATAATATTAAGACACAATAAGGTTAATTATGTTAGTTTGGTTAATCGTTTCATTTTTATCTACAGCAGAATGGTTCAGTTTTCCTTCAATCAGAAGCTGTTTAACAAACATTTCCAAACATATTGGGTTTTGTTTGAAGAAGTTTGAAAATGAGAAGCTGAAGCCTTCTTCTGGTACCTTGATCTGCTGCGTCTTCAACTGAAGCCTCCTCAGCTCCAGGTCCATGTTGGTGTTCATCCATCTTAGAGGGTGAAGAGACGGGACAGAGGTCCAGTTCGTACCCACTTGGGTCGGATTCTACAGAACACTGACCTGGACACCTCCTGTCCTTCACCGGCTCTGGCATGAGCTCCTCTGATGAGCTCTGGATGGGTTTAAAACCACTGGAATCGTCTCCCACAGCGATGGCGTCCAGGTCTTCTCTGCTGTAGCTGATTTCTATGTCACTGTCTTCATCTGGAAATTCAGACTCAAAGCACTGGGTTCCAGTTGAAGCTTTGTTTTCAGCACATGACAAGCTGGTGTCTGCCTCATCGCAGGCGTTTTCCGCTTCCCCATTAGCGCAGGGAAAGAAAACGTCCTTCGCAAAAGGATCACTGCCTTTGAACGGGTCTGAAGCAAATCCATCTGAAAAAGCAAGAGAGAGGATTTTTCCTATCAGAGTGGACCAGAGATGGGACATGTGGAGTCAACAAGTCATCTCCATGTCACGTATTTAATCTACCCAGCTAATTAACCGAGTGAGTCCAATCTGCACAGGTTGATTCACGGTGAAGATTGGACTCACCTGCTTCACTGGGTGGGTAGAACAAATACATGACATGGAAATGACTTGTTGACTCCACATTTCCCATCTCTGGCATAGACACATTTAGGGGACTGGCGGCCTAGCGGTTAGGGCATAGGGCTTTGAATCCTGAGGTTGTGAGTTCAATCTCCAGCTCCCACAGACTGCCACTCTGGGTCCCTGAGCAAGACCCTGCTTGCATCCCCAAGGGGATGGGTTAAATGCAGAGAAGTAACTTCCCTCTGGGATTATTAGAGTATATAAAATCGTCTGAAACCTTTAGCATCAATCAGACTGCAAGCAGCAGAGGCAGTTGGTTTACATGTGAAGTCAATGGTTGATCATCAAGCATCAAGGTGCAGCTAAAGTTCCTGTAGTGCGTTTTGAGCAGCAGGGGCCTCATGAGAAGAGGAGGCGCCACATCAACCAATGAGAGAAGCTGATCTGGGAGCTGGCAGGGAGTCAGACGCAGCACTGCTGATGCAGAGCTCTATGATCACTCCTCTGAAACAGTTTATTAACGCCTAAATTAACTTCAAACGTAGAAACCTGCCGGCAGAATATGTTGGCTTTTATTATCCTGCTGCCTGCAGTTTGTAGCGCAGACCTGAAAAACGCTAACATCTACTTCCAGCCGCCACCAACAGGAGGGGAAAACCCTGGAGAGGCGAGCGGGCCTGAGGCAGCTGCTGCTGGGGATTCCCAGTGACAGCGCAGCGCCGGTATGTGGGGGTCTGAGCGGCTCCCACAGAGAAATAATCTTTGAAGGCAGGATGGTAATCTGGATGAACTGACTGCACAGACCATGTTTTCAGGAGGACTTTCTCACTTCAACATAGATTCTAACTACTTTCTACCCGCTGATCACAGCTAATATAGCAAAGCTGCTCTCTGGCGTCGAACACAGGAGCAGCAGAAGCATCTGGACTCACTTTACTGGACTTTATAACTCTTCTTATGCACTTTTGTACTATATACACTCTTTTATATTGTCCGTTGTATCTTTATCCTTAATGGCATCTTGCTTTAACTCTTTGTTCTGTATATAAGCTACTGGAACCAGAATTTCCCTGAAGGAGTACTCCCATGGATTAATAAACTTGAGTCTATGTCTGACCTTAATGTGGTCAAGCATAAAAAATGAAGCAGCAGACGCTATTTTGATGCTGAAATCAGGTTTGGTGTGAACGTAATATGAGCGCTGCCGCTGAGTTAGGATAATTATCATTGATGATGCGTGAGTTTATTACACCTTAATATATATCAGAACTGATGTTTTCCCCAGTAGTTAATCTAATCAGGCCAGTTCCTCTGTCCGGATATAGACTTATAATCTTCATCCTGTATGTGGTAAAGATTGGGGAATGGAATGAGGCGGCATCCTTCAGCTGAGAACAAAGTGTAATATTCTGTTGAACCATGGATGTCTTCTCATCTGCTCAGGTGTTTGATGATGATGTGATGATGTGGCAGACTAAAGTATAAAATGCTTCTCTGCTTGTTTGTCAGGGCTGCTTCATGAGACGGGAGCCCGGTTGGTGAGCAGCTGCCATCTGTAACTCTGAGCAACTTCTCTGATCTGAGTTAGATTATAATATCTATCAGAATCTGTTGTCACGTCTCCTGGTTGTACATTATGAAGTGTTGTTTAATGAGATTGTCCTGAATGATCTCTTTACTGGAAAACGAACCGACGGGAGAAAGCTTCAAGGTGGAAACACAGAGCTTTCCTCTGACAGATGCCATCGGTAACTGGAAACCCTTCCTCAGTTCTGAGTGAGATTAGAAAAACTGCTGCCGTGTCTCATAGTCATGTAAAACATAAACATTATGAAGGTTTATTTAGAAGAAAACAGCAAATAGTTGCAGGATACTGGCCCTCAGGAACTGGAATTGATCACCCTTGATGAAGATGATCAGTATCTATCACATGCAGCTCTAGGTTGTTTCCCAACAAACATCCTCTCCTCATCCTCCTATAGATGCTGTGGTGTAGAAAGGTATATATTTTGTTGAGTTTTATGTCTCTATTGAATCTAGTTTCATTGTATTTCCAGAATGTTCCAGAACGACCGTTCTGTTCTAAGGATGGATCCTTACCAGATGAGTCCGTTTTAGGAAACAGATCTTCATTGAAGAGATCGTCTGCAAGTCGGGAGAGAAATCGGATAAAAAATGCATTCTATCTTCATTCATTCTATCTCTATTCTCCCACTCTGCAGAATCTGTTAGTTCAATCTCTAACGTTCTGCTCTCTCTGCTTTTCCTCATAGTAGCTTCATCTGGTCTGTTCCTGTTTGGCTGTGACTCCATCCTGGAGAGAAATATCAGCTGTGCTGCTGCCATCAACACCTTTGTTTCTAGATGTTGGAGCTTGGCCTGTTTTCCAGTGTGGTCCTGTTTCTCTGACTGTGACTAACTGGATGTGCTCTCTTCATCCTCTGACATGGGAGCTGGCTCGGAGCTCGTCTGCCTGGCTGTGTGTTTCCTGGACGGGGCCGCCTGTGGAGCTGGTTGACAGTTGCCTTTTGTATCTATGCTTCTTTTTCTATGTCTGCTTCTGTCTCCTTGAACCCCAGTGGGCCTCAGCAGATGGCCGCTCACACTGAGCCTGGTTCTGCTGGAGGTTTCTTCCTGTTCAAAGGGAGTTTTTCCTCTCCACTGTCGCTACAAGCATGCTTAGTGTGAGGGATTGCTGAAGAGTCAATGAGTCGATGCAATCAGCTGGTTTTCCTTAGATAGAAAACTTTGTATCAATCTGACTGGATGATCTGGTTGATCTGGATCTATAAAGTGACCTGAGATGACATGATGCTAATTGGAGCTATTGAAATACACTGAATAGAATTGCATCATCTTTAGCTTCTGGAAACATATATCTATCTTTATATTTCTGTCTAGTGATGTTCGCAGTCTGCTATTATGTTTGCAGTATCCGGTGTGAATCAGAAAAGCAGCACTTCTGCTTTTTTTCTCTGCGTGAACCAGCTGATTGGTTCTCTCCTCCTGGATGAGCTGGTAGAGACAGGAGATATTGACTTTTCAGCAATCCCTCACACCAAGCATGCTTGGAAACAAAGTCCAGTGGATTGTTTTTAACCTTTTTGGACGTCCCTAAAATCTAAAGTTTGGATCAGAGCTGTGAGGGAGACACGTACTATCAGTCTGGCCATAAGTGAACAGGTTGACTTGGTAGAAGTCCAGCTGACTCAGGGGGGTCGGACTCGGAGCAGAATCGTCCTGCCGCTGGTCATCTCTGCCATTCTCTTGATCCTCTTCAATGTCTGATCGATCTATTTCCTGTTGACAAATACCCAGAGGCATTGTTAGAATGAAGTCTCATTATTGGAGTGTTATAAAAAATAATACAGTATATTCATGAAATGTCACATTTAAAGAAAAGTCGCTCATATTCAGAATTCAAACTTCTGAAAGTTCTTAAAATCTGAAATGATTCCATCCTGTTCAATAAATGATCAGTGTTTTTAATTCAGAGTAATTTTCATGTGAATGTGCTTTACTGGAGGCATCCATGTTTGTCAAAGAACACTACTGCCACCTTCTGGTTAGTGACGTCACGGTGCGGTATCGGCTGTTGATCAAGTCCCAGTGCTGTATCTGGTGTTTGTCACAACGCGCTATTATCCAAGTCATCTTGAAAACATTCTTCTTCCAAATGTTGGCTACATATTACGGGTTTTTTCTCTGGCCAGAAGTTCGATGGCAAATCCTCCCTCTTCAAGTTGGCGATCCAACGACCAACCCGTCCGTGGAGGATCAGGAATCAGAAAGGTGGAATAACTCTTTTTTTTCACTTTTCCCCGATGTATTCCAGCATCCAGCTGCCATGCACGTGGGCATTGTCAGTTTCACTATAGCTCTGGTGAATTTCAATGGTGAAGTCCTCTGGAAATCTTCAATAATTGTTGTTGATTGCAGATGTGTCTAGTAGTTCCCATTGATTTAGCTTGGAAAGCGGGGAGAATGGCGCTAGGCTTACCGCACCGTGACGTCACTGCTGGAAGATGGCAGGAGGGAGGGGCTACTGTATTTGGGCAAAAATGGCCGCTCCCAGACTCAGTGATCGTGATGAAAATAATAATTCTTTTACTGATTTACCTCATTAGTGGCTGACTACTGACCGGACTTTTCCTTTAAAAGCTTTTATTTCTATCAATCAGGCGGTTTGAGGCGTCCTGCTCCATGATTGGACAGATTGGAAAGTTTGAATTTGTGCTTCGAGGTTAGCGTCCCACCTTTGTAGAGCTGCTCCCACTTTCGTCGTCCTCTCTTGTACCTGCCAGGTTATTGCAGAAGGATAAATCTCCAGCCCCCTTATTGAGTCAATGAGAGAAATAGAAAGTAGGAGACGGTTCAAAAAATACACGACAAAATGAAGCAAAGTGACATATGAATGGAAAACAGGCATGTATAAAGTTCTGTCATGCTTGTTAATAGGTAGTAGTTTTTATGCACAGTGAAGCACTCTGCTACTCAGGATTGTTTAAGTCACATTTTTCTCCAAAGGTGGCTGATCTGAGGTTCTACTGAACCTCTGAAATGACAGGCTGGACAGGAGATATAGCAGCTCCGGACCCCCTTCAGGTTACATCGTCCTCTATTAGCTGCACTTTGCCCAGATTTAGGAAATGTGCCTTATAACGGTGTAACCCCCCCCCCCCTTACACCGTGGCTCACCATTATAAGGTCGGCATACGCGGGCAGTGATTGGCTCCTCCCCCACGGCTTCATAGGAAGCAGATCATCTTCAGTGGTGTCTGCAGGAGACGTGAACTCCTCCAGCTGGCTGTCAGGTGTCACTACACCTCCTGATAAAGAATACAGCGTCTGCTCTTCCTACAAACAGACAACAGAGCAGAGTCATCAATAAACTCTATAATCAAACTAACATCAGATGTGAACGCCTCCTCGTTATGCAGCCTTCTTTTTGTCCGTCTTGAAGGACGGATCCGCTGTGTCCTCCGTAGCCTCATGGATCCCATGATGCATTGCGAGTCCAAGTAACCTGCCATCTGCGTCGCCAGACCCCATTTACTGGGGCACGTGCCCCAGTATAAATCTCATGAATATTTGCAACAGTATTACATTTTTTAATGCATCAATTTAGATAATTCCAACGGGAGGAGACGCATATTTCTACTCAAATGCGTAGCAAGTGTGTTGGTAACTCCAAATTGAGGATGAATTAGCGCCCCCACGTCAGCGCATGTCACTGCATGAACTGCAGGTAAATTAACGCGCTGCTCTCAGCTGAGTTGGATGGGACACTGTGCGGCCGCGACGCATTTTTAGTTCTGGTAACGTTTCTTACCTGTTAATTTTATTATTTTCCCAGTGAAACCACATGATTTATAAGCTACTAACTGAAAATGACTGCATTGGTTTGTAGATGGATATCAGGAAATTCCTCACAGGAAGCAGAGACAGGGAAGCAGTAAAACAAGATGAGAGAGGGAGGTAAGGTCCCGTGATGAATTAGTGATTTAAGCTAAGCAGTTACATTAGGGACGTTATAAGCAATATGATAGATATTTACATAATTATAAATTTAAATTTTTTAATGTTTGCTGTAGAGAATGAGAATGAAGGTGCTGGAGTAGGAAAGGGAGGAGGAGGTGAGACTGACAGGCAAGAGACAGGTGAGAGACAGGTGAGACAGGAGAGAGACAGGAGAGACAGGTGAGAGACAGGAGAGACAGGAGAGAGACAGGAAG